CCTAGGCACAGAAGGTGGTCATGTGTCTTACGAGAAAATCTGTGTGTTAGGAAAGCTTTGTTCAGTCATGCTGTTGGCTGTGAGCCCAATGTGAATAAATCAACAACATGCATTAAATAAGGTGTCTTTAACAGAAATACACAGAAAACAAACCTATGCATTGATAGGTTGATGAAAATGTAAGCAGAGGCTCGTAGGAACCTGACCCCAAGCTTAGAATTTTCTAGAGGTAATGGAAGCAAAGTATTCACAACTTCAGTGTTCACAAAAACTTTATGCAACATAACTGCTGCAAATAGTGAGGACTGACAGGATGTGTGTATAAATAGTCCTACTCTTAGGAATCATCCTTACATTTGTAAACAAGAAATGCGTAGCTTTTTCTTATATATAAAAACAAACACATGTCAGACAAAAATAGTTAGCTGTTTTAGATCCCATGGATGCTTCCATATTCCCTAAGCCTGCAGGTTGTTCCTGAAATGGAGTATTGAAGAAACGCGGGTGACACTGACGGACAGCTTCTAAATGCTGGTCAACAGCACAACTCGAGCATAACGGTTGTCAGCAGCCTGTCTGTGGGCTGCCAGTTCCTCTCATAGCTCAGTGTCATTCTCCTCAGCAAGCTTACAACGTGTTCAGTCCTTCTCAGAAAAATGTGTTACAGTGTTACAGTGGTGTTTATGTTTGAGGAGATCTCATAATAAAAACTAGTGTTGGTGCATTCATATCTGTCAGTTTGCTTGGGTACAACAGCTCAAAAGGATGTTTTAACCTTTCATTCACAAATGTTGGTTCTTATCAGTAGGAATGCTTTAAAATGACAGGTCTTATGCAAGACTGAGTGAGAATTACCCACATCTTATGACATAATGCCAGTGATACGTTGAAAATGACCATTCAGCTCTGTGTCTCACTTTTTACCATCTGCAAACCTGGGATGTGGCATTCACAGAGTCAGAGACAAAAAAGGGACAAAACTCCATGCAAATGACTCTTACACTCCGAAGTGCTTCTGTTCTTGTTAGCCTGTATCTGCTTTTAATCACCTTTCTTCTTGATATAGATGTGCCTTGGGTAGTTATTATCTTATGGAGATAGATAGTTAAGTATGTGAAATAAAAACATCACAGACCTCCATTTGGAGATACTTCAGTTTGGGATGGCTTATTTACTTGTGCTGCTTATGCTTCTCACTTGATCCTCTTCTGACTGACTGTGTGGTCTTCTAGCTGATGATCTTGAGGGAGGGTGAGTGTTCTTGTGCTTACTGCAAGCAGTAGATTTTGTGTCAAGTGTAGTTCAGAGCTTACAGCATTTTTTCCTCTTATTTTTGGTAGATGACTTAATCTTCACTTTTTGTATGGGGGTACCTCATAGATATAATCTTCTTCTGCACTATGGCTAGTGTATTTAAGTTCCAAAATTGATATTCTTAATTATTCTGCATTCAAAAAACAAAATATTTACAGTTGAATTTCTCTCTGAATTGCACATTAAGCTTACTATATTTTCGTTTTCCCCTGCTGACTTAAGAGTAACCTAATAGTCTAATATTAAAGATTATTTAATAAGATTAGCCCTTGACCTAACTGAAAGAGAGAACCTATGTTATTCTAATTTCAGTAAATTACTACTTCATATAGAGATATGTTATAATTTCAGGATTTTATATAAGTTCTTCCGTACATGTTAATTAAGTGGGAGTTCCTTCTTAAACATATAAAAATGCAGGGAATTAACTGAAGGATGAAAATATCTTTCTAAACTGGCATCTCTAGTGGAAGTGCAGGGTAGTGTACAGAAAGCTGTGAGAGTCTTTGGTGATTTATTGGCTGTGGTCTCTAAACCTCTCTGTAAGAATGGCTATATTTGTGAGTTTATATGTGCTGTTTACTAGCCTTTCAGCCTTGCCAATCATGTCTCCTCAATGTCTTCATTTCTGTCTCTGTTTTACTCACTCAAATACTTTAATTTCCTCTCTTCACAACCTGTGAACATTAATTACTCCTTGTACCCCCAGATCAAGAGTTTTCTCCAAAGAAACACTGATATTCATCAAGTTTCCCTTCTCTATGGCTTTATATGTATACATTATTTGCTCCTTTGTCGTTAGTTTGCTTAGTTTCATTTTTGCTCAATTAAAGGATAAAATGAGAAAACATGTATAAAGTATTTAACACAGTGCCTGGTACATAATAGGTGCTCATGAAATGATACAATTAAAAAAAATTTTTTTTCAAGTCATGGAGCTGGATAAATTATAAATCTCAAAGATGGAGATAGTCTCAGAGACACATGGGAAGAACTGAGGGTTGTTAGTTGGGAGGGGGTGGGGATGAAGGAGAGGGGAAGGGATGAGACAATGTGAGGGTGAAAAGGGTAACTATTGCATTGTTCT